AGAGGTTAGATTGCAACCCAAACAAGTTACCACTCAAAAGCAGTCCACTCCAAAATCTGTCCATTACCAACAATCAACAAAACAGCCAATAGCCAACCACCAAAATAAAAACCTATAGCCCATTAATTCTCCCAAAACCCATACACCACAAAACCATCGCCCATTTATGCCCATACTGCACAAACAACCTAAACTACAAAAACCTAATCCAAACCCTTCTAAGCTATTAGCCCATATCATAACAAGACCAAACCCTCAAACCCCAATATAACCATACAAAGCCCACCAACTTCATACCCATAAACCATTTACCCATAACTAGACCAAACCCATCACATACCAGCCCACAAGAAATAAGCCGATCCAATTCTTTTGCCTCACCCTCTCCAAACCTATTCAAATCGCCGCTTGCTTCTGCCGTCCGCCAATCACCACCACTCTTCCACGCACAGGTAACTCACAACATCTATCCCCCTCTGCAAATCTCTACTGTCACCCGCAACCCAACTCCCCAACAATCCATACTCCACCATCCTAATCGACCAATTTCTAAGAAAAACAATGACAACCAACACACCAACAACAAACTATCGCCGGAATATATCACAAAGTGTGAGTAAAATCAAAATAATATCACCAATAATATCAACCTTACCACTAAACCCACTTGTGTTGAGGCTGCCTATTTTGAGAAAAGAAAATGGTGAGAAGTTGCCAACAAAATCAGCCAACAGAAATGCCGAATTCCTTGTTTAATTCCCTGAACGCAACCTCCAAAATCAGCCACCAAAACCTCCAAAATCAGCCAATAGAAATGCCGAATTCCTTGTTTAATTCCCTGAATGCAACCTCCAAAATCAGCCACCAAAACCTCCAAAATTAGCCACCAAATTTGACTCCAACAGCAGTTGTTTCCTTTCTTTTTCGTTTCCTTTTTCTTCTTCCCAAATCTTCCAAATTCACGCAAGCAGGCAGGTAACAAACGTGAATACTACTCTCAACAAAAATCAACAAATTTCAAGATAACCTGGCTCTGATACCATGTGAAAACTAACAATACAAAAGACAGAGAGTGAAAACGAGAGGGGGGGCTAGGGTTTTACATTGTGTGAATTGATAGAAAATACAAAGAAAGGGAGACTTTAAATAGTCTTACAAGTAAATAATAGAATGACAAAACTACCCTTAA